AATGGCCACAGACCACGTGTCAGGGGCGGAAAATGGCCGCGGACCACGTGTCAGGAGCGGAAAAATGGCCACGGACCATGTGTCAGGGGCAGAAAAATGGCCACAGACCACGTGTCAGGGGCGGAAAATGGCCGCGGACCACGTGTCAGGAGCGGAAAAATGGCCACGGACCATGTGTCAGGGGCAGAAAAATGGCCGTGGACCACGTGTCAGGGGCGGAAAAATGGCCGTGTATCCTGTTCGTACCCCGAGGCGGAGTTCGCAAACCGAGGTAAATTTTTGCGGCCGGAGCTGGTCGTAAGCCGAAAAGTTCGTTAACAGAGGCATTCATAACCCGAGGTACCACTGTAATTATAAAGACCAAACCACTTCTTGTGAGAAATAGATCTTTTTTGGTTTTTGGAAGACATAACAGAGATAAGCAATTTCATGATTTAAAAACTAGACACTAGAGGGGCTTCAGATTTTAGACAGAGGAGAAAATGCAAGCCTATAAAATGCAAAACCTTATAACAATGAAAATACTGAAGGAGACTTTTGAAGAATGGAATCAGAAATTAGTACCTACAATATCAACAATGATGTCTGCTTCTATGGATAGACTATGTCCAAAAGATTTTATTGAAGAAATGACAGATATAGAACAAATTTTATCTGACAAGATAGAGATGGTATTGCAAATAGATTTACAACTGACAGACCAAGAGAATGACTTGGAAAAGGATGTTTCACGGGATTTATAAAAGAAATTGGCTGAGGTTTTAAAATTTAAAAGGGAAATACAAATGACAAACCAAGAGAGTGACCTGGATAATTTTTTTCCTACTGGGTTTACAAAAGAGGCTTGTTAAAGCCTTGAAGAACTCTGTGAGATGGGACAAAGAAGAAATGAAGAGATCAAATCATATGACAATATTTGAATGAACTAAGATTAAGACCATTAGAAGTAAAAGGAAGGAATATAAAGTTGGTTTATTTGATCAAGGTTAAAACAAGATATGTTGTCTGGAAACTCTTTCTGGGCCTTCTGCTGACAGCAGGACTGAAAAGATGATGCTTTATGGATTTCTTTATAGATAAAGGATGGGATATGGGATGAAGAGATAATTGTTTGTAACCTTAGAGGGGGTGAAGAATCACTGTATTTGTTTATACTTGTGATGAAGGTTGGAAGTCACTTCTTTATATATTTCTTTTCTTTTTCTTTATTATATTTTTACTTTCTTCTTCCTTCTCTCTTTTTTCTTTCTCCTTGTACTTTTTATCCTTTCTCTCTCTTCTCTTTCTTTAAGTTTGGTTTGTATTAGATTTTACTATTATAATTAAAATTGTTAATAAAATTATATTAAAAAATTTACATTTTTCTCCAGGGCTTTCCTCTAGTTCCTCCTTTGGCTGAGGCAGCAATAGCTGGATTCCTCTGAGCAAAGTAAACCTGATGATTGGATGATCTTCTATAAAAATTTATCAAAAAGAGAAAGCAAGCTATAACACAGGAATTATCTCCTGATCCCCCAAGTAAAACATCACTGTTAAAAATTGTTCTAATATGCACACTATTATGGTACTGTAATTAAAGTTGCTGAGGTTGAGAAACACTGATTTAGCATACTATGAAAGGTCAAAAGTTGCTATTTAGTTCTGTGATATACAGTTCAAACCAACATGCTGATCAAGTGCATATTTCATAATTTAAAGCAGATACAAAAGAAAACATGGAAGCTTCAGGTTCTGCTTACCTCCACTGTAACCATTGTACTTCCTAGCTAGCTTTGGAGGTGATGTTGGTGGAGGAGGAGAAAAATCACATTTTTCTTTATGTTTTCTGAAACACGTCATTACTTTCCAAAAACAATATCTGCAAGGAAAAATGTTGATACTTGTGGCAGCTTTTATTGAAATAATAAAATGCATGTTTGGGAAATCAGAGGAATTGCTCTCTAAGAAAGTTACAAATAACAAAGCAGACAAACAAGATAAGAGGCTTCCTGAGCTCCTGATGGCCTGTCATACACAGATAATAGACTGTGTTTGGTTTGGTGGGCTATAGCTTATGTAGACCAGGTCTAGAAAGAGGGAACCCAAAGGACAGTACAGGTAATCCTTGATTTATGACCATTTGTTTAGTGACTGTTCAGAGTTATGACAGTGCTGAAAAAAGTGACTTACGACTGGTCCTTGCACTTATGACTGTTGCAGAATCCCCACAGTCATGTGATCAGAATTCAGGTGTTTGGCAACCAGCATGTATTTAAAAGGGTTGCAGCATCCCAGGGTCATATGATTGCCATTTGTGACCTTCCCAGCTGGCTTCCAGCAAGCAAAATCAATGAGGGACTGCATGATTCACTTAACGACCACATGATTCACTTAATGACCACATGATTCACTCAATAACTTAATTCACTTAATAACTGCTGCAAAAAGGTCATAAAAATCAGGTATTGTCACATGATGCCTTGCTTAATGACCACACTACTTAACAATGAATTTTCTGGTCCCTATTGTGGTTGTAAGTTGAGGACTACCTGTAGACAAATTTCATGGAGTCACAAGTTGGGGGCATGTAATTCTTCTTACTGCTGAACCTTTCTTTTTGCACTACTAAGCCATCCAATATTAAATTATCACATAAAAACAGCACAAGCAGAAAGACCATACCATTTGGACTTCCTCTTCAATTTATTTTGATAAATGTATTGCTTAGCTGGCAAAGACAACTTTGACCCCAGTTTAAAAAACCTGTTGTAACCTTTATTCTCTGGTTTTGTTGATGATAATGGGTGCAGCAACTTTTTTATTCTGTCATGTCATTGTTACATTACCTTCATTTTATCCTCAGCCCATACATGAGGCAGCTTAAAATTGTCCTTGGCTGTTCTGGTCTGAAAATAGTATTTTTCTTCTTAAGCAGGCAATGAGCCAAGGCAGTTTTGCTGTGGGGGCAAACTTTGCTGTGGGGGCTCAACCCACCAGTGTTGCAATCAGGTGAGCCCTAGTGGTTGGGATCAGCCTGCCATCTATTAGCCACTTTGGGCTGGTGCAGGTATGTCCCCTCCCTTGAATCCCTGGGCAGTGTCCTCCAGGTCCTTATTTTGGGAACAATGAGAGCAGCAGAGAGACTTGCTCTTTCAACTTGGGCTCTTTCTCATATTTACCAGGTTTCTGAGCTGATCCCCAGCTCAGAGACCTGTTTCAACCCAAATAGCACTACCAGTGGTGGTAATGGAGGTTGGAAGGTGAAGCAGGAGACAGCAAGCTAGCTGTGTCACTTATGGTGCAATCCCCCTCCTGATGTGCCTGTCTGCTGTCGTCTGGGCTGCTTTGAGCATCGGTTTACTGTTTGTTCAGAGGCATACTAAATGTTTTTTAAAAGTCTGAAAAAAAAAGCTGTCAGTACTTGGGGGGGGATGTGTATGAAGTGGGATCTCTCTTACTTCATTTTGCAATCCCCCCAGCTGTTTGGGGGACTTGCTGACTGTAACTGGTAAATAAAGAGTCAGTTCTCCCACCATCCCTCCCTGCCCTGGTAGCCTGGGTTTTAGCTGCCCAGATGAGGAGGGGTGGCAAGAGGATACCCAGTGAAGCAGGACAACCTCTATTGCCTTACTCTAGACTCTAGAGACTCTAGTCCCCCATGGATCAGTTGCAGCTCAGTGCCCAATCTTCTGGGTGGGTGAGGACTGTTTAGAAAGGCAGAAAAGCCTTTCCTACTTTACTGGTCAGCCTCCACCAATGCCACAGATCAAGGGCCATAGAGGGCAGAGGGAATGGCCTTGAAGGACAGGATGAGGAGCCACTACCAAGGCAACAGTTGGATAAGAAGGGCTTCAGGGCGGGTCAAGAAAATAACTCAGGAACACATCTCAGACAAGCCCTTCCTTTGTTCACACAAAGAAAAAGGGGGAGGGGAGCACATTTAGGCTTGCAAGATTCTGTTACGATAAATGTTACAATAAAAGTAGTCCTGACCTATATGGCATTGGTTTCTTAGTCTGGTCTACTGGGCTGACACTTGGTACCAGATCTTGACAGATGACTAGGGTCTACCAATCACAGCAGTCTAATGACTAGTGGAGAGTTTCCATTTATTAGTGAGACTGAGAAAGGAGAGGACAATAACACCAGGGACTTTAACCAGTGGCTTTACTGAACATGCCCTGCATACTTTAAATCAGGATTTTATTGTCTGATGGCAAACCAGAATGTAGGTTTTAGATACAGGATAGGATTGACAATGTTAGTTTAGTTGATTAGTCAGACAGCCATATCCAATCATAACACAACATCAGCATGGATTGGTAGTGAGAACAACAAATGTTATTCTTGTATAGATTTCTGATTACTTGTGGATGGGTGGAGAACACTTTAAATCTGCAGTGGGAAAAGGCCCTATAAGAGGTGCCCAAACATACAACTGAAATGCTTTCTTATACAGCTAACCTAATCCAAGTGATAAAAACACTTACTTCTTCCAGAAGTATAATAAAAGTGGGAAGATGGAGATTATAGCACCATGATAAAGAGTCCTGTTCAGCACACCTTCAGAAATTAAATTCCGAATTTGAATATACTGTGCATCTGTGAGATTGACCTGGTCATGAAAGAGAACATAAATAAATAACATACATGTAAATAAAATCTATTTTTAAATAAAATATCATAAAATGGCTAATTATGTCAACCCATCATCAGACAGAAACAGAAAAACTGATGTGGCTGGTCCCCAATCTCCAAGATTCACTGCAGTTACCATATATAAAACCAATCCTCCATGAATCTTTTCTGGTCAACTATCTATAAGTCCTAGTAAAAAAAGCTCTGGTTTCAACTGAAAATTAAGTTTTAAAATTTCTGCATCATCATATATATTTGTATCCAATATTTTTTCGCTTTTTAATAAGTCTACCATGCATGGTAAAATGTCCCTTCATGCTTTTCACATTTTCAGCAACAATTAGAAGTACCTTTATACATCTTAGATAAAGTACCTTTATACCTTTATAAATTTATATATGTACAAAGTACCTTTATACAGCTGGTGACATATACCACTGTACATCATTTTATAAAAATTTTCTCTTAAATTATATGGCAGTGTGAATTTCAGTTCTTTTAACCACATTATTTCCCATTGATCCATCTGTATATTATAACCAAAATTCTCAGCTCATTTTATCATGCACTCTTTAACTTGTTCTTCTTCCATTTCAAATCTCAACAAAAGTTTATACATTTACCACATTATTTCCCATTGATCCATCTGTATATTATAACCAAAATTCTCAGCTCATTTTATCATGCACTCTTTAACTTGTTCTTCTTCCATTTCAAATCTCAACAAAAGTTTATACATTTACCACATTATTTCCCATTGATCCATCTGTATATTATAACCAAAATTCTCAGCTCATTTTATCATGCACTCTTTAACTTGTTCTTCTTCCATTTCAAATCTCAACAAAAGTTTATACATTTTAGCAATCACATGTTCATCATTTGTACATAATTCCCTTTCAAATTCTGTTACATATTGTTCTATACCTGATAACTTTCTGTCCATATTGAACCTCTCCCTTAATTGTACATATGAAAACCATGAAAAGTAAATCCTTCTGCAGTCAGTTGTTCTCTTGATTTCATCTTGAGTTCTCCATTTTCCTGAACTAGCAGGTCTTTATATGTTAACCATTTTTCTTTGCCTGTTGTTTCTTTTCTATAAAATGCTTCTTTAGCCGAGGCCAACAAAAGTATTTTTGGGCATAATCTGGGTCTATATCTGTTTCATATCCGTAATATGACATTCCTGATACAATGTTTTTTAAAATCTACATTTAATTTAACTTTACCATACCATAAAAAGCCATGCCACCCAAACCTCACACCGTGTTCTTCTAATTCTAAGAGTTTCTTATTTCTTAGCAACAGCCATTCCTTCATCCAAACCAAACAGCAGGCAGCAAAATACAATTTAAAATCAGGCAATCTCAGTCCACCTCTTTCCTTTGCATCTTGGGAGAATTTTATATTTAACCCTTGGTTTAATTATTTTTATTTATTTTATGTTGTTGTTGTTGTTGTTATTATTATTTCTTCCCCTGACATATGAATCTGGATATATCTTGTCATTATTTGAAGGGTACATTCTTTCTCAAAACAGGTATTGTCTGGAATAAAAACAACATTCTCTCCCCCTTTTTTATGAGGGTCACAGTACCCATTCAGTCCCTTGTCTTGACCTCCTCTTCCTTTTCGATGGTGCAACAAGGTTCCTGGGGTTTAATGTCTCTTCCATAGCTAGATAGGTAATCAGCAAGTAAGTTTTGCTTTCCAGCTTTGTGATGGATTGAAAACTTCTATGGTTGTAGGGCTAAACACCATCTGGTAATCCTGTGATTACTGTCCTTCATTTTCTGTAGACATGTAAGTGGCTGATGATCAGTAATTACCTTGAATTCTCAGCCCCACAAATCAACTTCAAGTGCTTCAATTGCCTTTTCCTTGAATACTTTGAAACTAGGTGGTGCAACGCTCTTCAGGTTGCCTTAAAGTCCCAGGGGAAAAAACAAAGGGAAGGAAGAGCTTATGCTGGCCACTGCAAGGGTTTCCTTCCACCCTGTGAAATCACATCCCTAAAATTGCTCAGGGGCAAGTCTGATAATGTAGGAGAACCTGAAAACCAGTAGTCTGTACAGACCTGAACATACAGACCAATCAAGAATGCTGGGTCAGATTTCTAGGGAAGAAGGAATGGAAGAATTGGCAAGGTTTGCAATACTCAAAAAGATGAATGGCAAAAATGAAGAAAAAAAATTAATTTGCAGATTAAAAAAAATGCTTATTTTTGTTGAATTATCTATCAACGTGTGTAGGAAGGTTATCAAGACAGACCACAGTAGTAACTTCCTTTCTGAGCAAAGGGAGTTGAATTGTTCCCTTGAACATAGGTCCTTAAGCATACAAATTTGGTGCTAGCATGGGATGCAACCCAACTGCTTCCTGGCTTCTACAAAAGATGCTACTGTTATCATAATAATAAGAAGTTGAGCTTTACTATGGAATCTATGAATCACCAGTGTCTTTGCTCAGTCTAGCAATGATACCTGCCATGTATTAACAATGCCTGCCTGGGTTCACCACTGGAAGCTGGAGCCTAACCTGTCAATCTGTCCACTTCAGTGCCTACTTTGTGCCATTCAGCTGAAAACACAGCAACTTTTCTTTATGTTTCTGCCGAGCGCAACTAATCCCACCACCTTGGAAAAGTTATTTCCAGATCTCTTACCCTCAGTTTAGGTGGGATATCTGAATTCAGAAATAGTTTGTTGATGGTGGCCACTTTGCTCTTCAGGAAGGCAATATCCCGCTCTGTATAGAACCCAAGAGAAGCCAGCATGACCACAGTATCAGACAGATGAAAAAACCTGTGGTAGTAATAAACAGAAAATGGAGAGGTGGGATGGACAATACCAAAGGCCATCCTTGATGTAACAGAAATTGGAGGCAAGACCACATAATAGTTGATATCATCTGGTCTTGGATTGGTAGTGCAGCAAATAACAAGCCACATCTGGGGTCAAGTGGATACTTCTTCCTGTGGCCCATTCCCATCCTAAAAGCTGTCATGTTAATTCAGCACCAGCC